TTAGCATGCTGTATTTGTTTGGAAAATGTGTTTAGTGTAAGACAGTTGTTTTGTCAGTGAACCTTGTGAGTTGTAATGGAGCCAACTTGTGTGCCGTTACCTTTGTTAAATGTTACTGTGGTCCCTGGTTTTATATGAGAAGCGGAAAAGATTGCTAGGCTAATTCATACAATATAAAATGCCATAGACTTGTGCTAATAACGTTAGCATGTTGTATTTGTGGGGAAAATGTGTCCAGATAAAGACAAGTGTTTGTCTGTGAATGCTGCGAGTTATAGTGAAGCCGATGTGTGTACTTGTGTTTGAAATTGTCTCTATTAAGCCATGTTTAATGTGTGTTTAATGTGTGTTTTGAATCAACTAAATTTAACAGCACTTCACAGAAACCTCCGCCCCCAACTAGTGTTTTGGAGGTGTAACTGCAGAGTGACACAGACACACCACCGCACAAGTATAAATGCTCACAACGGCGTGTAACTGTTGATAAGTTTTCAGGCTCTCATATTTTATCATGATGGCTCACATTTAGCTGACAGACGAGTGTGGTTATATTCAAATTCATAGTTTTCACGTGACATTACATCCTTATGGGATTAAAAGAAAATGAAATGTCAGAAGTTACATTTCTATGGGAAAGTCTTCTTAATGTCTTGTGCAACTTTCAGAAGTTTAAAGTAAAGTAGTTATTTATAGAAATATACAAGCAGTCGGCAGATGTCTGGTATTGATTTCCCTCTATTGATGTAATCCAGATAAGATGATTTAACTGTCTCTAGGTCCATGATGCCTACATTGAGCTTGTGCAACTGCTGGAGCCATCAGACCCTCAGGCTGCAGTGGAGGTGTACTGCAGGTTCCCTCTGAAGCCCGTGTCTGAGCAGAGTTTTGATGACGCCTTCATCGCCGGAGAGATCGTCCGCTTGCTGATGACTCTGGAGCAGTATGACCACCCGCAGCTGGGTCCCAGCCTCGTAGCATACGGCAAAGTCATGGGCCTAAGTGATTACTTTTTCCTATTATTAGAAATACTGGAGACATAGTAATATTAGACTGTTACTGTTATTAAAGTTATGTTGCTATGCGGTAGCTATATTTAACAAATGTGTTATTAAATACAGTGTTGTATTGAAATCATGCAGACAGGCCCATGTGACATGCCATGACATGCTTTTTATAGAGATGTATCAAATCACAGCTGGTGTGCCGGCCACATGCCCCGTTACATAGAGCACATACATGCAGCATGATGTCAGATAAAAAAATGTGCACAGAGTAGGTCAGGTTGGATCACTAAATTATCTTAAGATGTTCAATATATTATTGTTACATTATGTCTCCTTTAAAAATTGAAACGTGAGACATTTTGGCATGAAGCTCTTTATATGTTAAAGCATTATGTGGCTGCAGTGATGTCAATGTACTAATCTGTGGCTGTGTTTGTAGGTTGTATAGACAAATACATAGACATCTTGGATGGGAAGTCCATGACCACGCTGCTGCGTAGCTTCTATGCAAAGATCCATGACAGACAGGAGGATGATCAGGAGCTACAGGACTTCTTTAAATTCAAATGCTGGATATAATCATGCGTGTAACCCTTTAACAAATACATGTATTCATCTTTCTGAATCTTTAGGTGAGTCACAGTTTGCTTACTCTATACCGTCCTTTGTCTTGAGCTGATAAGGCACTCTTTGTGTTCAGTGGTATAGAAATCCTCTTGGCTTCAGCTAAGCTATTCATATTGGACAGGGACACTGAGAAAATGTTCATCTTTTTCTCCAAAAGCACATTTAATTTGAAAAAACAGAGCTCTCAATAAAAATGGAATATCAAAAGTGACAATAGCAACAACAGACAAAACTGGAGAACAACACATCCACCAATAGTGCAACAAAAGACGTGTTTCAGTGAACATCCTACAAAAATGAAACCAGATAAAAAACATTAAATCTTGATCCCCAAACTGTTTTTCCAAGCCAGAGGCCAAATGACTCATTCCTTCATCCCATTAGAGGCTCTTTTGATAATACAAGAAAGGTATCATTGGATTTCTCTGCACTCCAGGTTAACACTGCATGCAGGGCTCAGCCAAGCACTACACATTTTTCAAGGCTAGCATTTAACAGAGACCACACAGCATAACACCAACCAAGGATTTCCAAGTTCATTTGAGTTAAACAGTTTCCTGGCAAGACATTTCTGAGGATGAGTATCGACTGTACAAAATCTAGAAAGACAGCAGCCAAGACACGCAGGAGGAAATTGTTGTCTTCTAATAAAAGACTATTCAGCCTGACAGAACGGCAGTGATTTACACACTGTTGGTGTCTCTGACATTATGTCTCATCTCATATCAGGCTGCACACACCCTGACCGTCAGTTTTTGTTCTGGTCTACTGTTTCACACAGAGTTGAGTTTGGTGACGATGAGCACGCGGACTGACTGGTCAAAGCTCGCGCACACACACAGGCCCTGCTTGTCGGGGCTCCAGTCCAGGCTGGCGATCGGCTGAGTAGACAGGGTAGCGTTCTGTAGGAGGTTAACAGAGCCAGCTACGCCCACATCCATGTCATCTGACCCCTTTTTGCTTCTCTGAGCGGGATACTCACTGGAAATAAAATCGATGCACAAATAAATATTTTATAGATCAGTTTACAGTAAAGCAGGAAATGTGATTCTTATAAACAACCATCATGATGACTGATTATGCATCCTGAAATGGAACAAAGACTGTTGGAGTTAAGGCTGGATTACTTACTATTTCCAGAGATGTAAGTTGCCTGCTCCTCCTGCGGTCATGAAGATGTCTCTGTTTTGAGGCAAATGCTTCACCTGCCAGATGGTCGACTTATGAGCCTGAAATAAAGCAGAGGGATCATTTAATTCCCAAAACAATTTCTTTAGAAATTCATTCTTAAAACCTTCCTGAGCACCAAGACACTGTAAACCTGTGTCGAAAACCTCATAACCACGTGCATCTGCTGAGGGTCAAATAATGCGGCCTTGCATGTGCGTCACTTTTGTCAACAATATTGTCACTTAAACACTTCTGACTCTCCCTTTTGTATGACATTAAATTCTTAAGTCTGTTTAAAGGGATGTCATTGCATTAGTTCTTATCCTCAGTGTGATTTCTGCTATCAGGCCTGTTTGCTCTGCTCACACCTTCCCCAGCACTCCACTTTCTCTTATGTCAAATAGAGCAGACTGCACTGTGGAAAGCTGTTACTGAACCTTTATTTATGCAGAACACCTTCAGAAAAAAATGCATTGTTTAATATTAAAAATACAGTTGGCATCTTTTATAAAAAACAACTTTTGTCGTGTGCTGAGACTAACTGTACTCACACAGAAGCACATGAGACACATAATAGGTTTGTCCTCCTCCCACTCCTTTTGCTTCTCGTGGCATTTGCTAGAATCTACCAGGGCTCACGGAAAACAAACAATTGGAGCTGAAAAGTCTGACAAACTGCAGATTTGATCAGCGCTGCCTAGTTAAGCAGTTTGAC